TTTTAACTATATTCTAAATTATAAAATATTATACAGCTGCATGGTTGGCATTATATGGAAGCGAGACACCAAATCTACAACGTCTCGCTATTCGAGTGTTGAATCTCAAATGTAGCTCATCTGGGTGTGAGCACAATTGGAGTGCATTTGAGCATGTAAGTCTTTTCCTCATTCCTTAATCCTTATTTCTTGAATTTCAATTTTCTAATCTAAAATCTAATTTATCTGATTTCAAATTTCTACCACAGCTCCATACAAAAAATAAAAAAAAGGTTGGAGCAGAAAAAGTTGAATGATTTGGTTTATGTGCGGTATAATGAGCGTCTTAGGGAGGGGTATGAAAATCGCACGAAGCTCAACCCTATTCAATTATATGAAGCTGATGGTGATTACATAAGTGAGTGGACCATGGATCCAAGACAAGAGCGTGTGTTTGAGGGTGAGGATCTTACATGGTTTGATGTCGAGCTAGCAACAGAGGCTAATGAAGAAGATCGACCTAATACTAGAGCACAAAGGAGTAGAGGAGCTGCTGGGTCTAGTCGCACTCTCACATTAGCTTCAGAGGTTGAGGAGGAAGCTGACTCAAAGGAGATCGATGAAGAAGAATACATGGAGGCCGTCGAGGATGATATTGAAGATGCACATGACGACTCTCATGATGACTTGTCTGATTGATATTGGAAAAAATGAAGTTCAAATTTCAAAATTGACTCTCAAAATGGATGATTGTATTAAGTTATTATTTATTAACTATTAACTCTTCTTGAGCTTGACTTTTGATTTGTATTTTGTAATATCATTATTTTGTGCTTATGGTTGTACTTATGGTTGTTGATGGTTGTGCTTAATTATAGTTGTGCTTTTGGTGCAAATTTGTGCTGATGGTTGTTGATTGTTGAATGCTTTATGAAGTTGGTTTCAAGTTTCTAGTTTCTACAGGGGATTGTGGATACCTGGATACAGAATCTCCGACAGCTAATAGTTTTCATTAAACTAAAATACCTACTATCACATATATCACCTTCATATTTTTTTCTATGCATTAACTTATTTTTTTAGATTTTTTAGAATTTTGTTACATTTATTGACCGCATCATCGCGATGCACCCGCATCCGGGCCGCATCGAGCTGCATCGCCGCATCGGCCCCCCACCGCATCAGGGCCGCATCCTGCATTTTAAAACACCGGTTTGTAGTTCATGCAATAATGTATCTATGTATGTGCTTGATGTTTAGACTGAATTTCTCCCCTACCACAATGGCATAATGTAAATGCAAGCCAAAAAAAAAAAAAAATTTACGAAGAAAACAATTAGACGTACATAATGTCCAATCTTGAATAGTTACTGCTTTTTATAGGTAATTGGAGTAGAAATCCTCATTCAATTCCAATGCTTCTAATAGTGCAAATGCTTCTAGTGGTGCTAGGCATGGTTCTAATCACATTTCTAGTTAGTGCTAGGATGGACTAATGTTTCTTTAAAGTATAATTGGTAACTACAACACCTATAATAAATACCATGGCATAGAGAAAACCCTATTTTGTCTGTATAATAATACCATTTAGAAATACCTGGGATAACATTTGTATCTTTTGTAGATGACTTTCCTAGTGGACTACTTGACTCTAAGTTCAATAATCAATACATTGACTTCAAATCTGAGGATACCTTTTACAAGTCTAATAACAAATATTTGATATCGATTGCTTAAATAGTTTCTAAGTCGATAAAGCGTGAGATGTCGATGATATAGGAAACTTGTTTCTATGGGGATTCGTACTTGACTCCATAGAGTTACAAATCTCAATTGGCAATTGGGATCAAGCTTGATTCTAAACTACTATGAATCCCGATTTCAAATTGGCATGAATCTCGGTTCCACATACGTTAGAAACGCGATTCCAAATATGTCGGAATCTCGATTCCAAATATGTCGGAATCTCGATTCCAAATATATCGGAATCTCGATTCCAAATATGTCAGAATCTCGATTCCAAACTGCTGCGAATATCGGTACCACATATGTTGGAAATTAGATTCCAAGGATTTTAGAATCTCGATTCCTTGGAGATGGGAGTCTGAATTCCAAGGAGGTCAAAATCTTGATTCCATATGTGGCGGAATCTCGATTCCATTTTTATCAATTTTTGATTCCCTTTGTGTGAACATTGATTCCGAAAATAGGAATCTTCTAGCCGGCCGCGATTCCGTGATTCTGATTCCTTAAATGATTCGGGTTCCCAGGTATTACCAACAACTATGGTACGGTTACTCTTTTGCAAAAGTTCTCTCTCTCCTATCTCAAGGCAGTAGAGTTTCTCCTATTCAAGCATGCAAAGAGAGCCCTCTCATGGGTGATGGAGGTAGGCTTATATAGAGCCCCCACTCAAATATGTGTGGATGCTCAAAGTTTGGGGGAATTGGGTGAAAAAGAAAAAAGGTAAAATACAAAGAAATTCGAGTAAAAGAAAAATGGATGAAAATGGACGCCAACTAGGTCCCTCAAAGACGGCCTCTTCCCAACCACATGGTATTGGGCCTTATTTTTGGATTTTCCCGTGCCGCAACGAGTGAACTATTGCCGAGATAATAAAGATCATGCCGCCAAGATCATTTTGACATAAGTTTCGCATGAAACCTTGAAGATTCAACGGAGTTGTGTCCATTTCAAGTTTTTGGGATTTTCATGCAACTCTTCACAAACATTTTTTGAACATAACTATCGATGTTGCAAAATACTAGGTTTATTGGGAATTTGCTGACCGGAAAATTGAAGGAGACCCCGCCATGGTCGTTTTGCACCAAAAAGTGTGGAAAATCCTTCTGATCGGCCTAGATATGGCTCTGGCAAGTTGCTAGAAACCCAAAATTTTGTAACAAAAAGTTTTTCCTATTTGCGAGCCTCGGATGACCGCCCATCTAGACCCTGATCGTGAATTTTCTTATGCCATCTCGAAGGTCTTCAAGCCATGATTGAAATGCAGCAATTTTGGGTCCGAGATGATGGTTGGATGTGAAGTTAGGGCCAATAAGCGAGGAGAGTTCGCATAGACTGTGTTTAGCATAAGCTTGGAAACTTGCAAACTTCTCTCAAAGATCTTCTGCGATCCGTCTGTACATCATGAGTGAGACAATTCCAAATATCAGTGCTCGACGAGGGGTACAACATATCCGAATTTCGTTCTGATCCACCTTGCCGATCAGAAGCTGCAATGTCGTCGAGTTTGCTCAATTTTGGGGCACGGTTGCAGAAATTTGCCACTTTTGGCAGTGTTCTTGGACTGCAATGTTGGAATAGTATGCCATATGCCTATTTTTGGAAAGTCGGACCTACGGGTGTCTGATTGAGAAGAAATTCGAGTCCACCCGTGACAGTCCCGAAGCTATCTGAGATCAAATTCCAGTGGTTCTTAGTGATTTGACATGCTCCATAACAATACACATGTGGTGAACTTCCCTTGTGTTGACTTTCTTGTTTCCTCTAGTCTGGACATCCGATTGAGTTGGAGTTTGGGGATGTCTTTTGGGACAATATCTACTTCCACGATCCTTTTGGCATCAATTCAGGGGAGTGCTTTATAAAACACACAGGCTTTCTTGCATGCTTCACAGTGGTTCGGAGCCAGAAAGGCTTGGGGTGCTGTGGCTTTTATTGGGTGGGCCCCCAGCAGAGGAAAAGTGGGGGCTTCACTGTTGTTGAGCCCGGATGAATCTTGAATGGGCCTCGTACGTGCTCTTGCATATTTTTTGGGTGTGTGTTTGGTACCCGAAAGCCGCGGTTGCTACCATGATCTCTGTTATTCTCACCCAAAGGGGGGGGGGAGGGCTGCGTCAGAAATGCATGCAAACACTTATCTTACTAATCAGGGACACTACCTGCAAACACTTATCTTACTAATCAGGGACACTACAGGGATGTTTGTGTGCTTCTAGTATTAACTATGGGAGGATGATTCTTAATAGTAAGCATTGGCAGCTTACAGCTTATTGGGGGTTGTTATTCATTAATCAGAACGAGAATGAGGCGTATGGTGACTATTGTCCATGTGTTCAGTCGATCCACTTGGGTGGTCAAGTCCATGCATCTTATAGGAGCTAAATGGCTAATTTATTATCTGTAAGCCATGTCTAATTTTTTCTCATTTCAGATGCTTCTAGCTACTCATTCAGATGCTCATGCGGCAGGTTGCTCAAGTGACTGTCTCTCCACCATGGTATTTGTATCATCCTTAATTACATGAAATGGTAAATTTGCCTATGGGCTTGAATGTAGTTCTCAAAGCCTAACACTGAATACCATGATCCTACGCTACCTACGTGGTTATTTGGCCTTGGTTGGATGATATGTGGTTGTAAGACTTGGTTTACCTACACCTGTCTATTGTCATAATAAATGCGCCATTAATATTACCAGTACTCTGTTGCTGGAGTATACTACACATCAAAGTTAAAACCTGCATCATTCACTTGAAAGTTTTTCGTTGCAGTCTTTAGGTGCTTAATAAACTTTTGGACAGTTTTTCTTTAGGAGCTTGAGCATAAATTGATAAAATTGAGAGGTTTCATGAACTCCATGCTAACCAGAATAGAGTGGTTGGGAGGAGAATAGTGCTGTGACACATTTGAGTAGCAATATAACCTGTAGGGGACTAGTGGGCAGAAAGAAGGGCTCAATGTCGTTGTTCTATGGCATATGCCATTCCATGAAAGAATTGGAACACCAGCTTACTACTGGCACTGTTTTGTTAGTCCCTTGTTTTAGTTTTGCCAAGTGGGTGAGAGAATTTCAGACAAAATCCACTGAAGTATTATTTCTCAGTTGATGGTATCATACTAATGTCATAGTTGCTGAAATTCATGGAAAAAACAAAAAATTAGTAGTTGTTATATGCATTGTTTATGGTTGTCGTATAGTTTGCCTGTACTTTCCAATGGAAGATAAATATTGTGCCAAATGAATTAGTGGTATACTTTCTTATTCTTTTTTTTTGGCAGGATGAAGCTGAACCTCTTGATAGGCTTGGGCAGCATGAATTCTTAGCGTCTGCTAATTACCTCTCAGATTGCAACATCAGTTCTTTGATTCTCGACATGCAAAGTGCTGCTACGGATATCCTCAAGGAGTAAGCAGTCCTCTCCCTCTCTGTATTACATGTACACACAGACACGCACAGAGCCAATCTCATTTGGGATGTTGTGAATGCAGAAAGCATCTTAGGGACCCTTTCACCATGGCCGACTTGCACGATACATTTGCCAGGATGCTACAGTCCTTTATGAGTGGGCCCCATCATTGGGTTAATTATATTGTTCCTGAGACTGCCTCTGCATATAAAGAGCTCACCCCAGCATCCTCTCATATTGGTGAATCTTTACATCCAAGTGCCACTGGCAAACTGGAACAGCTAGTGGTGGAGACACGTGCTGTGTTGGCGAGGTAAGGAGTTGGATGGAAATTATTTTCGTTTTTCATGTTCAATTTTCAGGCGCTTGAATTGGTTCATTCTTTCTATATTTAATCGGCCTAGAACTTTTATAGGTGCTCTCTGTCTTTCTCTCTCTCTCCCTCTCACTCTTTTCTCACACACACAAAAACACACACATACAGAGACATGTACATATGCACACCGAACATTTTTTTCCTGTGTTTTTGTCTGTCAGTGTTACATAGATACTGCCACACATGTTGGTGTCCGTGTATGTCTAGATTGGCTAGTAAGGGAGTTTAAAACAGCAGTACTTCTCAACACATCCAGAAAATGTTTTGCTTTCTTAAGTTTCCTATAGATGAACATTTTCAAAGCTTAAATCAGTAAGTGGCCTAGACGGTATAGCACATGTTTAAGACTATGGAGAGAGAGGTCCATGGTTCAAAATCCCTAGTTCATTGTTGCAATAGTTTATTTTAGCTTTGCATTTTATCATTGAGAAAGAATATATGTGATTAATTACACCATTATTCAAAAAACGTTCCATATCTCATGGTAGAGGCGACCACACATTAACAAAAGGTGATGTTGTCGATCCCCTCTGGCTCATTAAGTTTTTGGTTTTTAAGTACCTTCAAAATATGTAAAATAACATTATAAAATTACTATACCTCGCATTTGGACGAGGTGGGTTTTGAACCTATTGCTTCACCACCATGCAAGTCTACTCTACGCCTTGATTACATCGATTTTTAATCATAACAAAGTGGAAATTATTATATTAGACCTTCTATAGGAAGTATTGACATGGTACTAAAAATCAGTGACATGCATAGTCATGTGTCTATCCAGTTGACATGTGTCTAAGTATCGACACATGACACCAACCCCCTGTAAAGTGTTAGGGCAATACTGCTGTGTATGCGATGTCTGTTTTTTTTTTCTTTTTGGTTGGGTGGGTTTGTTTGGGGGGGGGGGGCGGGGGGGGGAGCGGCGCTGCGTGTTAGTACAACAGTGCCTCAACAGTGGTGAGGTATGACTGTTACCTTAATTTTTCAAAAGATGCATCCAAATTCCTGCATTATGCAAATTATGCAATGGTCATATAATCATCTATTTTCTGCATCCTGAACTGAGTAAAGGAAACTCCCATGCTTGCTCAGTTGAAGGAATTAAGTCCCAATGGTAAAATAGATCTATGACAACTGCTGCATTCATGTTCTGGGATAGCTCAATGCACCCAGAGTCCCAAATTTGCATATGACGTTGTTTATAATCTGTGGATTTGAAATATGAACAAGGGGCAATGCAAATTCTTTGGGCTCAAGGATGTTGAGTTGCAAGCATCCATAGAACTACAAAGGAGAAACATTGGAGGCTTATTTATTTTCACGCACAAATGAAGCATAAAGTTTAAGAAAAGAATCAAATTACCGAATGAAAATAAAGGTGACTACTTTATCTAGGAAAATTTCTAATGGTTGGTTTGCCTTGATGTGCAGTGATGATTTTTCTAGGGTGGCAGAGATAGCATTGAAGAATGTTACAGATGGTGTGATGGAGGAGGTGAGACCGCACTTTGATGGTGGCTCATCGAATGGAATTCCTCTTGCAAAGATTTTGGCCAGAGTTGCGCAGTTGAGCTCAGACTTGCTTGAGGAGCCAAGCAGAAATAGGTACATTCATATCATCAGAAGTTTACCTGAGGTCGAATTGTTTTACAGGCTTCTATATGCTAACATGCCTCTTGCACCATAGCATTGAACTTTTTATTTTTATTTTTATTTTTTTGCATGATGAGCTTTGAATAATATTCAGACACATTGCGATTATAGTGGATTTTGTTAGAATAATTTTGTCAAGAGTTCTTGTATGGAGTTCTTCATTGCTTGAAGATTCGGATTTTTTATTGATCCCCTAATTGTTTTGCTAAAAAAACAAAAAAGAGGAGAGGAAAGTGGAGAGCCATATATGTCGGCAGGTCACTGGGTATCTCGGAGCAGCTTGCCTAGTTGAGCAACATCTCTTTTAATGTGTCTGTGTTTGTTATTGATCGACATGGAACAGCCAATTTATGCATGACATACAAAATATGAATGGGATTTAATCATAAAATGGAGAGTGAGGTGGGATTGAAAATTTTTATAGTAGAATCGTGCCCGAAGTAATGCCACTGGTTGAAGTGCCTGGCCTGTTTTGGCATTCTCTTGTGAAATAGAGTTGAATTCCATAAGAAACCAGGAGCATTATGGAAAAAAGGTTAAACCACATGAATCCATCATCAATTGCAAATCGAAAAGGGAAGTTCTACTTTTAATTTTTTATATTGAGCGTATATTTCGCTTTTATTATGTTTTATCTGACATTGATCTAACCTAGTTTCATCTAATTACTATGCAAGGTCTTCAGTTGCTCTGTATGGTAAGAAATACAGTAACATTACATACTTGTTAAGCTTGAACCGTATTTATGTGAAACAAAAGGGTTAGGGGGATGCCATGTTAATGACATGGAGTTGCTTGATATTATTTTATGGGTGCGGTTTGTATGGAGCGGAGGCTCTAAACAATAAAATAAAAGTAGAGTACACCTTCAAATAGTGTCGAGAAATGTGGTTTCAATTCTGGAAATTTTTGTGATAGCTTGAAAATATATTTTCATCTGTAATTATAGACTTTAAAGCTTCAAGAATGGTGTAGATCGAACAGGTCTATGAAAACTTGAAAATCTTGAAAAGTGATTGTCTAAAAATGCATTACAAGATGCACTATTTTCAAAACTTGAAATCAATTTTTTTTTTTTTTCATATCCATGCATTTGATGTCGAGATGATCAATTTAAAGATATTTGGGTATCAAAACAACCTCTTCTAATGAAATTTTTGAGGTGGGTGCATATTTGATTGTTTAGAGCCTCTGCTCTATGTAAAATTTTTACATTATTTATAGGATGCGGTATGGGTGAGCCTAAACAATAAAAGTAAGCCACACATTCAAATAGTGTCAAGAGATGTTTTTAATACAGGAAATATTTGTGATGGTTTAAAATTTTATTTTTATGTCTGATTATAAAATTTAAAGCTTAAAAAATAATGTACGTGAACACTTAAAAATTGAAAGTTCAGAAAATACGTTACAAGACGCTATTTTTAAGATTTAAAATTCAATTTCTCTCATTTCTATACATTTTGAGTTCGAGATGATCAAGTATGAGTATTTTTGAGCATTAAAACATCGAATTTTTGAGGTGAGCCTTAATTCGACTGTGCTGCACCCTAGATATAAATTTTTCCCATTTTTATACATCTTACCTCCCAACTGACCTTACAAAAAATGAAGGAAAGTCGCACGTGAATATATGGATATGGCGGGTTTTTTTTGGATGAAGTTTCCTTAGGGCTTAGGCTTTATGAAAACAAAATAAAGCCTTACCTCAAGCTTCATCCAGGAAGCACTCTGTATCGAAAATCTCTATCGAAAATCTCTAGGATGCTCTAAAATAGGGAAGCACTCTGTATCGAAAATCTCTAGGATGCTCTAAAATTGGGAAGCACTTTGAATCGAAAATCTCCATGATGCTCTAAAATCAATTTATAGCATCGACAATAAATTTTGAAACTCAAAATATGGTACATGACTTGCATGTGAATATTTATTTTTTTGGCGAAATGGACGGTCTAGATGATTTGTTGCAATATACACCATTTTTAAAATTTGAAATCCTAATTTTTTTTCACAACCATAATGTTCTAAATTGAGATGATCGATTTAAAAGTTTTCTAACAGTTGAATTGCAATTTCCGATGAGTTATAAGGTGGGGTTTTATATATTTTGATAGGGCTGGAGCCCTATCTAACCATTTTCCATTTTCCTTTTTTGTTTTCTTTTACGATAATTACGGGGAGTCGTTATTTCACGAAGTGTACGCTCCCTCTTCTTCTTTGAATAGGTTTTCTCGGCGCTTATCTTTTTCTTCCGAAATTCCCGGATATTTATTGAATCCCCATCTCCTTTTGATTCTTAACCCTACTCTAACAAGGGTTCTTCTTGGTCCTAATTTTACAAGGCTAATTACCTTGTTCTAACTAATTATTCCGGTGTTAATTAAACCTTTTTGTTTAATTACCTATTTTAACAAGGTTAATTACCTTTTCTAACTTATTACTCCGGTGCTAATTACCTCTTTTAACCTTTTTTTTTATTAACTCGTTTAACCGTTTCTTTTGTTTTTGTTTTTGTTTTTGTCATTAATACAATCCTATAACTTTTATCTGATCACGGCTATATAAAGAGGAATCTCTATTAGAAACCTCCTCAAATGATTTCCTTTCACATAATTGCATCTCCCTCTCCGAATTCCTGTGAATTCTCTCCCCTCTTACTTTTCTTCCTTACAAGTTCTCCAAATTTTGCGATGGTTTCCTACTCCAACATTGATTACAGTATTTCATTCCAGACGAATCCAGTCATCTTTGATGGTCCGAACCCTGATCATCATACTCGGAATGTGCTCCTCGACCTTGTCATCAGAGAGAGGACGACAATCAGGAGTGCAACAGTGGCACATGATCTGTTTCGGCCTGTCATCAAGGTTTCTTGCAGTATTATTCCAGCCTCTTCCACCCAAGAATTACAAACATTAGATAGCACCTTCGTCTTCATTTTTAACGAGTTTCAACTCATGCAAATACACAGATCATCCATAGCCTTACTTTGGAGATTGCCTATCGGACATGGATCCTAACGGACTCCCTCCAGGGTCCGGTTGGCAGGTTAACGTAGTTGTCGATATTAATGGAGAGAGAGAAATTGTCGAAGATGAAGAAGTGGAAACTGGGTATCTTGAGTTTCTTAGGCTCATTGAGGCCTCACAAGAAGATTATCCTGCTAAATCAGTTTCTAAGTCTGTGATAGAGGCCCTAAAGAGCACAGATATCAGGGATCAAGAGGAGGTTACTTGCGTAGTGTGCATGTCTTAGATTGGTTCTTCCGATGGTGATGCGAAAGTGCTTCCGTGCTATCACAGGTATCACAAGAGTTCTATTTTCAAGTGGTTCGAGTCGAGAAATTCGTGTTCTGTGTATCGGCATCAGTTGCCTACTGAATAAGATTTACATCTTAACTACCAACAAACGATTTGTCCAAATCCGAATCCCTCTACTAAAAAAGCAAAGGATGTGGGCTCGAGCCATATCTATCAGACCCACTTGTTGAATATGTTGTCCTTTGTATCTCTTTCTACATCTTTCTTCTGTGTTCAAACTGTGCAAAGAATACCATTGTTTTTCTTTATAGTGAATAGTTGTTAATTTTTCATTGTTGTTGCTATCTTTTATTATTATTATTATTTTTTCTTCTTATTCTTATCATTATTATTATGGAGCTACAGTACTAGTTACATCAAAACAAATTTAAATTATGGATATCTCTAACATTGAGACCGTTTGAGAAAAAGAATGCGGAAATAAGTTGTTTGTTATTCTGCCTCATCTTTGGAAAGATAACAATAGATTTGTTCTTGTAACAAAGCTATCATGGCCCACTTTTTTAGACACTTTTTTATCATGTCCGATCGGACCCAAGTAGTGCCGAGTATTGTGGCTACAAAAAATAGTTAAATAAATTATAAAAAATACAAACAAAACCCAAAAAAATAGGAAATGTATCTCTAAGATGAAGCAAAGCGCATCAAAATAAAGGTTAAAAAGGTAGTACAAATTTAACAAGGGAAAATATCTCCCTATTTCCTATTTTAAAGTTTCCTTTCTTGATAAACTCAAGGTTTAAAAAAATATCTTCTAACCCCCTGTCCACTTTAAACTTATTTTTTAGCCTAAATAAATGTGAAAAAAACATACCCTTTTTAAACTCAATCATTTCTCTCTTCACCTGTATATCCCAAACTTTTCTCTTTTTCTCTTTTTCTTTCTTACTCTCTCTCTTCCCGTGTTTCTCCAAACACCTCTCTCTCCCTCCTCGAAGTAACCTCTCACTTCCATGAATCGCTTTTCTCTATCTAGAAATTTGGGACGATAGCTTTTAAAAAAGATGTCTTTTAAGATTTGTTTGGCCTAAAAAAATAAGCTTAAATTAGCTCACAGGGTTAGAATAAATAAAATCTTTTAAAAAGATAAGAGATTATGCCATCTCTCTGGTCCATAAGGGAGTTCACCCCAACACAATCTTTTCACAAGATCCGAAAGCAAATTATTTTCTCTTCACTCTAATCCGCGCTTTTTTGTCCTAAAACAAATTCTTCTCTCCACTTTGTTCCACTCTTTTTTGTCCGGTTAAATATTTATTAAAAAAACTTTAACTTGCTACTTAAGAAACCCTAATTGATATTAATGTTTTTTTTTTGCCCCTCAAATTTCTATAACAATAAAGATGTAAATACCCATGACAAAAACTAGATAAAATAAATTGAGACATTAATTTTGATTTCTTAAAATAATAAAATAAAAATTAAGACCCTAATTGCATCATTATTTGGGGTTGGGAGAAGCTCAAACTCGAGCTTGTTGAATTCATTATATCCTCCATATGCCTTTTTAATAGTTGGTGATGAATTCCCATTATTCTCCATGGTACTTCATTTTGTTCATTAAATAAATTTATCAAATACTTAATGTGCAGGTTGTATAGAAACTCTAGGATGTCAATCATAATTTTGATTTCTTTTTCAACCAAAATATCAAGATCATGTGAATGTTCATTAAATCATGGTTCTTGCATCACAATTGGCTCATTACATATAGAATCGGCATCCAGAATTGATTATAGAGTTAGATTTGTCTCTAAGGTGAAAGTTGGTATCAGATCTACATGATTGTCGAGCACCCTTTTTTTGATGAATGGTGTTTTCTATCCACTACAAGTGCTTATTCACTTCATTGATTTCTCCCTGAAGTTT